TTCTTTAACTTAGTGTGACTTATCGTTAGGTGAAATATACCGACACAGCATACACGTGACTTAATGCACAGCAAAATAACCGGAATTAAACTAATCGGCCGGCACTATAGTTAAGTTTAGCGTTAGGGTATGCGGAATTAATCACGTGTATGCTGTGTCCCAATCGTTATGGGAGTTAATTTGTCACGTGCAGATCGAAAATTAGCCAATCAGGCTATCGGAAATATCGGATTTTATCGGGGTTTCGTCCTAATTTCGGAATTTGGGATTTTAATTTCGGAAATCCGAAATATTTCAGAAATAACTATCATGAAGTATAAAAGGATTTTTTTTATCATTATATTTCTGCGTTTAAATAAATATATTTATTAATTTTATGTTTTAAGCGCTTGATTGTCTTGAAAGTCCAATAATCTTCCCAAACAAAAATAATAGCTTCGAAGTATTGAATCGAACTTTAAACCTATTCAGAAAATGGTAGATAACATTAAAGATTTCGAACGAGCAAAAAAACTTGGAGCAGACATAACGAAAACACCTTTTATTGGTAATATTAAATTCAAATTTCAAGCTTTACACGTTTAATAAATAAAATTTAAAGCTTTATACGTGTATTAAATAAAATTTAAGCTTTATGCGTGTATTAAATAAAATTTGAAGCTTTATACGTGTATTAAATAAAATTTGAATCTGGATGTAAATGCATTTTGTACATTTGAATTGAATGTAATTTGACTTAGAATTTGGATAATTAAATAAATTCTAATAAGTTGAATAAATGAAAATAACAAAATTATTATGAATAAGGGCCCAAATATACCATTAAAATTGTTAACTGGTTTAAACATAATGGTATCATGATTAATTGCCTTATTTCGTGTTTAAATAGGTGTTTCAGAGTTATCATTCATTATTCAGAATTAAAAAAAAAAAAAAATCCAACCGACTGACCGAATTTTTGAAATCAGGTAATGCAAAACGAAAAATTAACTTTGTGTGGCCTTCTTCAAACTACCATATATGATGTCTCGTCCCCACTTCAGAACGAACACGATTTATAATATCACGAGGTCGAAGTATTGTTATGTATCTTTAACTAATGGCACAGTAAACTTTACAAGGCATAATCCACGTGCTTTGAATGCTTCCATAGAGGTTAAACAAGTTGAATCATGAGAAATCAGCCTTACTATATGAATAAAGCCATCTTTGCGCTTGTTAGAAGAAATAGTTAAAGAGTATGAACTGTTTTCATTTGTAAAACAAATAGCCAACAACTTATTTTATTTGTTCGTTCTGAACTTATAAAGAGAAGAGAATTCGACAGAATAACTGTCCAGGCAATAAACATTTTTATGTTAGTAAAAATCATACTGACCTGTAATTTTGTATTTGACATGGTGTTTGCTATAAGCAAGTTTTTTAAGAAATATATCAAGAATTTCAATGAAATAAATTTACAACGCAAATATAATGGGTTGACTAATCAAATCTACATTTTTTTATTGTGTATTCGAATTATTACATTTCTTATACGTTAACAATTAATAACTATATTAAATCATATTCAAATCATCGAAACGGGGTTTAAATCATAGGTTCTTAAGCACATAATTATTTTGGGCCCTTATTTGTCATAATTTTCAAAATATCGGGCTCTATCTGTAATTATTTTCATTTTGGGCCCTTATTTGTAATTATTTCGTTTTTGGGCCCTTATCTGTAAATTCCCCATTATATTTTTAAAAAATCTCGTGATTCTGTTATTCTTGTGCGCAGATTGAAATTTAAAAAGCGATTATGTAACTGATCGTGGTGGCGATACTAGGTGCGTTGGTTTTTTCTTGGCAGAACTTAAATAATTATTATAAAAAATTAAAATTGAAAACAAAATGGCAAAAACGAAACTACCAATTAATGACCAAAATTTACCTTAGAATGGATAAACTCAAGAGCTTCCTAACTCCACACAATTTTTCAAGCTTTATAGCTAAATTACTGAATTAAAGCATTTTTTGATAATATCCAATTTTTCCAATTCATTTTCTTTCATTATTCGTTCAACTGTTTGCAACTTCTCCGATTTCTTTTCTTCTATGATCTCCAAGATTTTTTGTGATTGTTCAGTCTCCATCGACTTTACGAGTTGAAAAATTTTGAACTTTATGACATTCATAATTTTTGGGCTGATATCGAGTTCGGACAAATTTATATAGTCCGGTATGTTAATTATGTCATATCATCTTCAGGCACTTTAATGTGCGAGAATCTCAATGGAGTAAAGTTACAAAGCCAGGTCTTCCAGTTTTTTTCATCGTTCTTACTACTAAGATAAAAAAAAGTGAATACGTAACTTGACTATAAAAGAACAAAAAAATCAAAGAGGTGCAGACATATTTATATAATAGATCATAATACAAAAAAAAATAAAATTTTATATAAGGTAATAAGTTACGAACTAGTTACATAAACATGTTTGCACCTCTAGATAGTACCTTGGTTTTTCGATGGTATTTTTTTAATTCTTTTAAAGCTTAAATAAAAAAATCATGTTAATGAAATGTTAAGTAATGTATTCCTCTATCAGTATAGTAAATGTAAGTTTTTTAATAAGTGTGACCAATTTCTCCTTCAGAATCAGCCGACTACTTATTAAAAAAACTTCATTAGATGATGTCCTTGTGGATCTCAAGCGAATATGTAGATCGAACGGAATCACCCTTAGGTGACCTCACAAAGATATTCTTCATGGCTCTCATACAACCTACATAATGAATGGAATCACCTTTGCAATATTGTTCCCTTCATGATGTACCTTTCCACTACAACAAACAAATTGCTTGGGCGACCTCACAAGGCACCTAATGGAAAAGGCCTCACTTGTCTGTTAATGGAATACACTTACTTTGCCATAGTTATCGTCACCGCCACCGTTAATTCTTCTTCTTTTACACACAAGAGGACGTGGTATTAATTTATTGCATTAAATTGTAAACAACGAGTATAACGGGTCATCCAAACGGAAGTATTCACGCTTAAAAATAATTGTCTGGTGTTATTTATGGAAGTGATTTGCATCGCGTACTTTTTTTGGGTTGAAATTATTTGTGATTGTTTACATAACATATCATCGTCTTTTTTAAAATGTGATATTTCGGTTAGGGTTGGCATTAGGTTTAGTGGGCGAAGTTATACCAAAATTTTGCAATAAATTTTTTTTGCTAGTGCGTGAAAGGTGATTTTTTAGGTAAAATTTCGAGATTTTCGTTGTTAATGCTAGAATGGAAAGTGGGGAGAAATTAGTGGGATGTAAGTTTACACTATACCGGTATTATACACGGTATAGGTATAATACCAATAATAGAAATGGGTTAGCCAATTAAATTGCTTTATTTTCAAAGTTTTCAAAGTTTTCCATTAGAATAATTCTATACGGTATTATACCTGGTATTATACAACCAATTTCTATTATACCGGAATTGCGCCAAAAATAAAAATAAAAAAAAAAAACGCAAAAAGACGAAAAGCGGCAGTCTAAACCTGTCTTGAGGCACTAATTAAAAATGTCGAGAAGGCAATTACTAACCCTAATTTTAATTAAAATGATTGAACCGTTAAAATCACGTGAGTACATGACTTTAGCTTGGACATTTCTGGGCAAATAAATAAATTAAAAATTACGCAAAATTTTATTAACGTTAACCTATTTTAACTTTCTAAATAAAAGTATTTCAGCACTGTAAAAATACCGTAAAACGCCGTATAAGGTACCCCCCTTGATTTGTGCCGGGTATGTTTCAAGGTTATTTGTTGTGGTGTTTTGTAAGAGACCCGGGTATAAATCAAGGATCGATTTAATAATGAAAATCTTTTTTTACTAATGGGCTAATATATGTTTTTCACAAGATACCCCCCATATAATATACCCTCCTCCATACAAGGTACCCGGGGGGTACAAATCAAATTTTTATCATGTGAATTGTAAGATACCCGGGTACCTTATACGGCGTTTTACGGTATATATATATATATATACTATATGTTCGGTATTGTTAAATCACACCAGTGGTGTTTAACACCACAGTGACTATGTATATCTCAAAAACTGTCTAAATAATCCAAGGCTAGATATCTTATTAAGTAAAAAGATTCAGCAATCAAAAATACTTTAAATTTATCTTTAGTCAATTTTTACTGTAGTCTACATATAACCGGCGTGATTTAAATTACCGGTCACTGGTAAAAAATTAGGTATATATGCAGTTTAATATATTTTTTAGTCAATATGTTTAAATACATATATTACCTAGTATATAAATATATAGCAAATAAGTTAATATTTGTACTATATATTACTGGTTAAAATATCGATTAACCTACGTATTTGCTTGTGTAATACATAAACCGAAATTTTTCGTCAAATGCAGACCAATTAGAGAACATGAAAGTAATTTCACGTGCTGAATTAATAATTTAATTTAGTGCCCATTTTACTAATTCGTCGCAACAGATCTTGCATTCAATTTAAATTGCTTTACGTAGTGAGTCTAATATAACAATAATTATGTTTTTTAGTATCCTCTCTTTTCCATTTCGACAATCCATTGTCACTTTCAATACCCTAGCCAATCCATATTTTTACCAACAAGTTCGTGGTGTTACCAGACTTTGGGGACGTGGTGATGTAAAGTATCCTCCTCCAAAGCCATTTAACAAAACAGCGCGGTATAGAGGCATGCTGAAGGTAAGAATTCAAATAATATGATCGATGATTTAGGTTTCTCGCAATTAAATTATACTACTTATTCTTAACCTCAGGCGAAACGTAAGCGATTACGAGTGAAGAAGACACCATAAATTCTATTTTAACATAGTAATCATGCGTAAAAAAAAAATCGTAAATTTATCTGCACCAATTACATGTTGCCACCAAAATTGTTCTAAATCATATAAATCGTATAAATGTGTTAGTCGGTCTGAAACTCTAAAACACAAAAAACATGGAAATTTTCAAAACCATAAAAAATATATTACCAATTTTTTTGCTGGTTGTATTAGTATTTGCGCCGTTTTTGGGTATCCTTTTCAAATCACGTAAAGCTTTGATATGAAATCTTAAAAACATAGATACAAAGTTTTAGCATATATATATACTTGTTACTGAGACAAAAATAAGTTTTTGTGAATCGTCGACTTCACTAGTTGTTTTTTTTTTAAATAAACAGCAGTTTTTCATATATAAATATTTTTATTATGTCATCCTTAACGATTAATAAAACTTTTAAGTGCTTAGTAAAGAAGAGCCAACAATATATGCACAACCAGAGAATGTAGAGATCACTGGTGAATTCACGGACAATCCGTTTAGTCGTAGGTATTCAGTTATATTTATAGTGTTATTTTACTTCTCCTTTTAATGTTCTTTTTTTTTATTGCGTAGAGGTCGTAAATGGACAAAAGAACACTGTAAAACTAATTTTTGACAATAAAGGAACATTAAATTATACTATCAATGCAGTTGCTGGTGCTTTGGTTAACAAAGACAATCCAAATGAGATCTATCGCAATGTAAGTATCGTTCACCCATGTTATTACATGTTAACTTTTTGATTAATTATTATTTGTGCTGAATAATAGTTAACTGCCGCCAAGTATTCCCTCAAAGCACCTTCAATGGATCATGTTGAACTTCCATATTATTTTTATGCTGAATTTCCACCACAGGAATTGGATATCATTTTGTTTGTCTTCTTTTCTGACGATGTAAGGAATTATTCATTTAGTTTTCAAATTTGATTATTTTTACTAACTTGTTTTTATCCAATAGGAAAAACGTCAATTTAGAGGTGTTGGATATAATGGAACGGTCACTATTGTCGATCCAGAACATTCATTATTCGACCTCCAGCTGTAAGTGTTTATTTAAAATATATTTTGTCGATATTACATTTCAAATATTGATTCATTATTGACTATATCGGAAATGCGGATTAGCATTTTCTTGTATATTTTGCTCTTCGGCATGGTTGCAGGTATAGGATATATGATCTATCAAGCATTCTTCGGAGGAGTTAAAGCTAAAAAGAGCAAGAAGGTATTTTTCTTTCAAAATTTTTTTCTTTGTATTCGTGTCTTTAAACAATAGATTTATTTATTTATTTTATTTACAGCGTCCTATTGTCAAACAAGAGGATGTGGCTACTGGTACAAGTTCATCATATGACGAAAACTGGATTCCTGAACAACATTTAAAACAAACAAGAGCATCCTCTCGTCTTAAAAAGAAATCTGAATCTTAAAGTATTGAAGTGTACATTTAGTTAATACACGAGTAAGCTATTTTAGAATAAATACCATTTTTTTTCTTGGTTTTTTTTTTTTGAATTTAAATTTGTTTTTAAATAATTTATTGATTATTTAATATTTGAATAGAGGGTAAAGTTTATTTTTAGTATTAACAAATATATTATCTTTTGCATATTGAATAAAAATATATTATATTCAGGTTTGCCAATAGAATATTTTAGTTCACGAATAGAACAATAGAGCATTTTTTGTTACTTATAAAAAATTTTTGTTTTAAATACATATGTTATTAGATTAAAAGTTAAATACATTTATAATAATTTAATAGAAAAAATTTACAATACAACGATAGAACAAAACAAATAAAATTTACAATAAATTATATATAGTCCGGTGCAAAAAATTTACAATAAGCTACCGTTATCCATTTATCCATATCTGAATTTATCCGAATACCCATTTATTATTGATATCCAGATAATCCGGATAATTATCTGGATAAATTAACAGATAAATAGGAACTCTACAATAAACTATATATAGTCTGGTGCAAAAATATAAATATACCAAAACTGAAGTTAAATTTTGTTTAAAATTTTGGATTTTACTAAAACGCACCTATGGTGTTTTACACCTATGTATACATTATCTCAAAAACTGGCTAATTAATCGGTATGAGGTATTCTAAGTAAAAATGTTTTATGCCCCCAAAAACCCTTCCCAAACCCTAATCCTAGCCTTAATATTAATTTTAATGTGAAAAAATTGGTGTTAAAAATTTATATACAAAACTTATAAAAACTTAGAAAATTTTAAAAAATATAATAAAAACATATAATAGGTGTAAAATCACCATATATGTGTTTTATAATAATTGAAAAAATTTTAATTTAACTATTTTTTTATAATTTATTAATATCAATTAGGGTTTACTATTAAAAATTTTTTTAAGTTTCTAAAATTTTATATGTTTCCGAAGTTAAAAAATTTTTTTGCTTTTAAAACAATTTTTTTTTTTCTTTCAGCAATCTTATTTATTTTATTATAGGAACAGATTTTCATTCTTACATCAGCTAATAAAGAAATCTAAATTTATAATGTTCTAACCAGAAGATAAACTCATTTACAACTTTACCTTGCAGATGTCATAACACCTACTTGCAGTCAGTGCGAATCATTAAACCACTGTGTTATATCTAAATGCAACCTGCCTAGTGAACAATTGGTCTTTTCCAGAGATCTGATACTTATTTTGGACTTATTTTTCCTAGATTCCTCAGCTAGCTCTTGTGTTATTCTATCAAGATTTCTACTTTACAATAGAATGCTGTCAAACTGATAACACTTTCTCATAAAGAAAGAAAAAAAAAAAGATAATAGTGAACAAAAAAAAAGAAGTATATAATAAAAACTAATATATTAAAGAAAATGATTACTAATACTAAGGAATAAAAATTTAAGCTAAAATCTAAAAGAAACTATCGCTAAAAAAAAGAAAACTTGCTAATTAGGCAAAACTTCTAATTATACAGAGTAACAATTTACTATTAAGTATGAAAGTCTTAATAAAAACCTATATCTATAATAAAATGCACTATAATTTATGCCAAAGACTAAAAATTATATATATATATTTTTTGTGTTTAGGTAAGATTTTGCCTATAATTTTATTTATTGCTAATACTTTTATTACATAAATTGTATTATTATATTTTTATATTTACATATATTAAGTACATTAAGCTCAGATCCAGATCCTATTAGTAATCTATACTTTGGCCGAAATCATCACTTGTGCAATAGGTATCCCATTTACTATCTGATCACTAATTTAATTATCTATAATCTAAAACTACTGAAGTGGTATGTTTTTATAGATAGCACTTATCTAATATTTTTCTATTCTTCACTAGTCCTATTTTGATATACTTCTCTATGATATCATTCTCCACATCTCTTATACTACTTATACTTAAGCTCCCAAATTTGGTAGACCCTTTTGAGATATGGTCTTGTAGCTTTATAGCTACTCCCAATCTTGGTTATCTTTAGCTAGTCTGTCTAAGTAGTATCATAAAGAGAAACTTATACTAGTTTAGATTAAGCTTCATCATTAATACCTAGTTTAGTTAGTATGCTACTGATTCTCATTATCATATTGGATAAGTACTCCTGTATATTGATACAGGCTCATCTTGTTATATTATAGATTATACTATAACTTTCAGATTGCAGATTTTATATTATTTCTCTTTTATAGTTTGAGTTATAGTATTCCGGTATCTTGATATTTTAGATTACAAGGCATTAAGAGTCTAGACCTAGTTGTAGTTTGTGATCTGTAATACTTCTAATTTTAGTATTTAGTATTTCTTGTTAATTTCTGATATACAAGTCCAATTTATACAATTGTACTACTAGCCTGGTGAATTTAACCATTTTAAGTTTTTATATTATACTCTAAATTTTAGCCTTCTTGCTCTGTTTTTATAGGTTTCTTCTTTAATAAGCCAAGTGGCTTGGGACCAGAGATGCTTTTGAACTCTGGATAGACCAAACCTTTACTACAAATTATCCTTGTATTTATTACTTTTTTCACTTCTCTAGTTTTGTTACTATTATATTATTTTTCTAATTAAATACTCTAACCACTGAGGATATTAATGCTACTTCAGTCACCTCTAATTAAGGACTAATATGCACAACCTTTATATAACAAAACCTTTTATAACCTGTTATACATATTGTTACTGCTTCATGATTAAACCTTCTTCTGAAATTTTCTTTTTCAGTTTTGTATTTGTATTTGGACTTAACCACAAAGCTCTGCATTTAATTATGACCTCTCTACTGGATTATAAAAGTAAAAAATCTTAAGATTTTTGCCTTCAGTTCAACTCTAATATCAACCTAGTCTGTAGAGTTTGACAGCTTAACTGCTAAGCTATATAGTCCAAACCTTATACAAGGGTCATGTTATATATCTCAATACACTTTGCTTAACTTTTTCTATTAAATTTATATCTTTATTCAAAAGTATAAAGACTTTAAAAACTCTATATGAACTTGTTATTATCATTTTATTTATACCAATTTGTCACCATCTAGTTTCTTAATATAAAAGTGATAAACAATAATAATCTTTTGGAGAGAGTAAGCTAAATTCTCTACTTTTTGTTAAAAATTTTGTAGCCAAAAAACAGCAAAGAAATATTGAGTTTTTGTGAGTTTTTCAATCAAGAAGTGTTGTTCTAAAAATTCTTTATAGTTTTCCATCTTCAAACAAACTTTAGTTTTCTTTTCTACTTGCTGTTTTTAGAGACTTCTCCGATTTAGACATTAAATACAAAGGGGTGTTCATTTAAGAAAATAAGAAGAAAAAAGTTTGACCTCTTTGCAAACCATCCAAAATGTCTACTCCTCAGTGTATTACATTTAAAGACATTGCTGACAACAGTTTGTATCAAGAAAACTTTAAATTGTTGTTAATCTTTAAGCTTAAATCTTTAACTTGCTTTTAATATTAGGTTAGTACAAGTGATTGTTGAAAAGAGTTATTTAAAACAAATATTAATTTTTACAAATAAATTATATAATTTATAATAATTAAAATTATAATTATAATTCTTAGAGTATAATAACTTAGTAAAGTAGTTAAGTTGTTATATTTTCAAGTAATATATTAGCAGATTAAAGTTTGAAATCTACTAATAATGAAATTTGAATACTTTGCTTATATAATAGTTACTATCTTTCAATAATCAGTTGGAATAAAATCTCTATAACTTTAATAACTCCAATAAGATTAGAAGATCATAGAGCATTTATATAATATATACCGTAAAAGTCGGACATGTGTACCCTGGGTATTTTCATTGCTTAATTCTGTATTCAGGGTACCTCTATACGGGGGTACGCCATATTGATGAGGATACACAAGTCGGGGGTAAGTAGTTGATTGAACTTCCACCGCTATTATATTTTCATATGCTTCACCAAAAGACAATGT